TTTTTTTTGGGTCCGCTTTCGGCCCGAACGGCCGAACGCATCCCCAAGGGGTCCCATACGTTCGGGCGTTCGGCCCATCCCGAACGCCGGTTACCCTGTATATATACAGACCCGGGCATTATATGGCACTCATTCGTGCAGCTGCCCAGTGGGAACTGTGGGATGGTGGGACGATGAGTCAGGTCATTTTCGATGTGAATGAATTTTTGCGAGCGTTGTCGAATCATACTTTATTCTGGATTATTGACCGACTCTTGTGTGACACCTGTCGGGACACAGACGCTGTGCGCCTTGGCTGTGGAATGCATCATCTATGCCATAGCCATTATCAATCTATTGCTACTGCCGCCGTCTGTCCTGAAGGGTGTCCAACATTTCCTCATTGTACACATCCCTATCACCCAGATATACGTTGTCCCTATTGTGCCGAAGGACGCTATCAGAACTGTATGATGCCGCACTGTGATGAACGTCCTGCYGTGTTTTTGACATGTGGACAACAYGTCCTCTGTCAGGACTGTYTTGATGGGATGGTTCGTGCTAKCMGTCCTGCAGAATGCTGTGCTGGCGCAGCCCTCCTTGGGCATCCTTGTGAACATCCACATCATCCTCACCGTAGCTGTCCTATCTGCCGAGGTGGGGGACAGGTAAAGAAAAAAAGAAGAAAAGAAAAAGAGAAAAAAAGAAAAAAAGAAAAAAAGAGAAAAAAAGAAAAAAAGAAAAAAGATACGTTGATCTGTGGGATGTGTTATTTGCTTTGTGATAATTGGATTATCTTTCTTTCCCTGTCAGGTTTGGTTTCCTCCTCCTTTTGTTTACCTCTTTGCCTTTTGGCTGCGTGCAAGTGGGTCCTTGTGACACACGGGGATGGGGGCAGCCAGCGCTCAACCTGTCATCCACGTGGCTGGCCTTGTACGTAAGAGGTTATGAACAGGTGGAGCTTTCCTTACCTCTTCCCCTTCCCCTTTTTTCCTTTTCCTTTTTTCTTTCCCCCTTTTTTTCGCTTCTGCGCTCTGATTCACAATGTGACAATATATTTTTACTGTAGTATGTCTGATTTGTGTGTACCCCCTTACACCACCATTATTAATCACCAAAGTGCGGCTGTATATGAGCAGGGATGCGCTGGGATGTACCAGCCTGCCGTGCGAGGATGAATTCATTTTCATGATGAGCTGACGTGGCACTGTAGAACGGCCATACTACTTGGGGAAGGTACTGGTGGTTTAAGAAGGGTCCCCCAAATTCGGTGCTGAGGAGCATTTTGATTTGTTTTTGGTTTTATGTTTTATATTATGACGATATATTTTATATATGTAATATGTATATATGTTTTTTAATATGTATATATTAAACCACCAGTTCACACAAGTCTGAGTCGACTAAGCTACCTTTCAAGGCTTGCAAGCCTGCAACTGCGCCTTTTTTCAAAGTGGCCTGGCGCTTTTGCTACCGGCGCCGGCCCAAATGGACATGCTCTTATATAATTTTTTATAATTTTTAAAATCTTACTGCGTATACCCGTAAGTGCACTACTGAGCTTCATGGGAACTGGTGGATTAAAAACCACCACTACCTTTCACAGGCAAACTTAAGACCTAAGAATGCGGAACAATAACCAAAACTGCATTTTTTGGAGGCCGGGTGAGCTGGACCAAAATAGGTGGAAATGGGTGGTGGCGCCAGCCCCCCCCCCCCCCCCAACAAAAAAAAACCAGCTGCAATGGTGCTTCAGCAAAGCCTGGCTCGCAGTTCTTTTCCACCTCGGCAAAAAAAAAAGAAGGTGCTTGGAGGTAGTCGTGGTTAAACAATGTGTGCTGCGATCCATGGGGTTCACACCTCTGTCTTCGATTGTCGTTTCGAATGGAGGAATTGGACTTTGCCGCTTACTTTACGTCTGACTGATTGGCATCATAGGAGGACCCAGGGTCCTCCTCCGTCCAACTTTGGCACTGAGAAACTTATTATGGATGTGGTACTTTTTCTAAGGTGTACTAATGTACTAATGTGTGCCTGGAGTAAAAATTATTTGAAAAATTTAGTTGAAGTACATTAAGAACTGCTACTGTGATCAAGTGTAGTTAGTATCTGTTCTGATCAGTTTTTGATATCTGTTCTGAATCTTCTGATCAGTTTTTGATATCTGATCTGATCAGTTTAATATTTAACATCTGATATGTGGTCCATTGGGACACGGAAAAAAAGAACAAAAAAAAAGCAAGAAAAAACCGAGGCTACCAGCGGGGCCGCCCGGCTCACCTTTTTTGCTCGGGTGGCCCGGCGGCACGGCCGTGCAAGGACCAAAGGTCCCAGCAAAAAAAAAAAAAAAAAAAAAAAAAGAGAACCCAAAATAACACTATGTTATGCAGAAAAATAAATTGAACAA